GTAAAAGAGTTGATGAATGACTAATTTAATCTCCACTATAAATTTATTCTTTATCTTTTTATTTATCTTTTTATTTCGTCCTTATTTTATTTCTTATCTTGTAACAATATTTTTGAGATAATAAACTTTTCGATTCTTGTTAAATGGTGATATTGCGAGGTAACATTTCGGTTAATTAACAATTATTGTTTAACTTTTGGGCTATTCTTGTCAGTTAATTCACAATAATTCGGTGCTTGTCAATTAATTAGTTTACGACTCTTTCTTGCACCTGTGAGCACACTTAATAGTACCAGATAATTGTAAATAAATCAAGATGGCCCTTTGCAATGCTATAAAGTCCCTTTATCTGATTTGTTCTCAGTTGTTTACCCTTGTTTACATTTATTGGCCGATTGCAAGCTTGCTTTGGTTTACTTGTAAAACAATTCAAGTAACTTGTTTAACAGCCTTACATTTACGATTACAATAATACTACCGGTATTTCCAATTAACCTTTGCCTACTCACTAAAGCAGTTTACGTTACTGATCATTGTTAACACTCACTAGGTAAGCAACGTTAATCCTAACCTTGCTTGCTTGCTCATTAAAGCAAATAAATATGGCTTTTTACCAAAACTCCACAATTGTTGCCTTTTACAGACACTAACTACACTTGTTTCTTTTATCAAAGCGCTTTAAACAAAGAAAATAAAGACAATATTTTTATTTTTAAAAGTTTATTAACGATTAATTTTATTTAATAAAAATAATGATTATATCGGAGTTTTATTTTATTAGAATGTATTATTTTCCTCTGTGAGGACCTGAAGTTATCCTTAATGAAATTTTCACTACAACAAGGATAAAAAATAAAGATGCAAAGTAACTTGATCAATCAATTATAAAAGGCTTTTGCGTAAAATTTTCATTTGATACACTAAAATTAGTTGACCTTTGAACATAAAGTACTGAATCCCTAATTGATGATTTTATCATGTATTAGTATCACGTTATCAATATTAATGCAAGAAATGTTTGAATTTAGTAGTAAATGAGTGTGTGGGAACTGAATTTATACTTGGCAAAAGAAAAAATTAACCCTTTGGGAGATTAGGATATACAAGAAAAAAAGACCTCGGAAATATATTTATAAGTTTTTTTTGTGAGCTTTTATATTTTATTCACCTTTAAAGCAATTTGACGTAATAATTTTACAACTGTGGTAACATTTCGTCAAACAACATTCGTTCGGAGCATCAAATTAGCACTAGATGAGAAGTATCGCATATTATCATGCATTCATGATTAATTATGCGATCTTTAATAAATAGTCTATTTATGGCCAGATGGTGCATTGATCGAGTAGTCTAATAAATTACCACAAAAACATATATAAATAGACACGCTATCTCCCAAAATTGCAAAAAATGGTGCATTGGTTTTGCTTTTTACGTTGCATTTTAATTCGAGGGTCGAGGTATGTAGTGTTAAAATGGTGTTATATATGTAATTCGGCTTTACACGTTACATTAAATGCGAGGTACCTATATATTCGTTCGGAGCATTAACATTAACCAGTCATATTTTTATTCGTTACGTTGAGCAAAATTTAATAAAAGATCCTTTGCAAAGAAGAACCCTTATGTGAATCAAAAGTCACTTACGAATTTCGATTGTTAAAAAATCAACCAAACTTTTTTTTCTGATTAAAAAAAAAAGATCTTTTTGTCCTAATTTCCTCGTGTTTATTAATATGGTATCCAATTCGTGACATTATTTGGATTTCTACATAACGTTGAGGTATATATTATAAATGGGAATGACTAGCACGTTGTGTAGGGCCTAACTGGTAATGTCTTCAGGCGCCAACAGATTTAACCAAGATATACCTAAAACAGATCGGCCTAGAATGAATAATAACGGTAAAGAGGAGGATAATCTGAAACGTGTAGTATAGGACTATAGTATTCGCCTAAGACTAGTGATAGGTGTGCTTGTTTTTTTGCCAGATGATATCCGACAATAGCAATGGATCCACTAAAGCCATATCCGTAGATGAAATTTGGTACGGTGAATGTATTTTATTGGCCTTGCCTTGCGGGTACGCAAATTGGGTTAGTACATTCTGGTACAGTCAATATTGTATGAGGTAGCCGGGGGCTCAGAAACGGGTCGCTTCGAGAATGTTGCGGCGAGGTCTGAAAAAATTACCATTCTGACCTCTCACAGCTAGTGTTACTTAAAGCACCCATAACACAAGATGGATATCAGAAACCAAAAAAATTGGTCTAGTTTGAGATGAGAGTTGAAGGGTAATGAAATTATTTTGATCGAGATTACCCGTATTAGGGGAAGACGTTATAGCACCAATAACGCGCGTGCCTTGTAGCATTACCAAGTGTCAGTATTGTGGTTTAGCTATGTATATGCCAATGAAAAAGCAATGGTAGATGTGGTAAGCATGTCTAAGTCGGCTGTGAAATGGGACCGGGGAGCAATCACCCTGGGGCTTTAAACACGATCAAAATAATGGAGTCGAAAGTATAACAGTGCAAAATAGGATGACATAATTTCGGAATGAGGGAGCTTGGAGGCTGAGCCAGAAATGGCGATAAGACTGAGCATGAGAAACTACAACGCTTGACACCAAAGAAAATACATGGATTTACACTTAAGAATGACAAATTATTTTGGATTAAAAATGACATGGAGATGAAAGTTAGTTATGAGAAGAAATAAGTTGAAGTATTATTCAATTACATGTGTTACCAGAATTAGAATTTAACAATGATTCATTGGCTGAAACATTTTAATTCCGAGTTACGTATTTCTTTATTTTAAATTATCTTTATTTTCTTTTTATTTATTTTCTTTATACTTTCATTATTTATTCACCTTACAAGTTTAAAATATATTACACTTTCTGTTAAAAATCAAATTGTAAATGCAATTAAAAGAATTTAATTCAAAACATATTAAATCAGAAACCTTTGTTTAAGTATATCAACAAATTTTAGAAGGAAGGATTAGAGACCCACAATTAATTGATCTGGTCTTCAAATATTTCTACAGAAATCCTCAACAACTATTCCAGTTACACTATCAATCAAGATTAACTGAAAATCCTCATGAAAATAAGCTTGTTACTCTTGTGGAGTAAATGGACACATTGGGGAATATTGTAAAGTCCAAGGACTAACAAAAGTGGGAGAAATAGAATTCATCTTTCAGAAACCACTTTGTTGCAAAAGAAAAGAGCATTCAAAGGAATATTGCAACAATTTAATTAAAAAGGAGAATATTTATCCCGGAGAATATTTCTTTGAAGATATCCCGGATGATTTGCCATATGAAGGAGATCTTATGAGGATTAGTCAAATTAACTTTGATACTATAATAATAACTCATTTTCATCAGGACCTATCTTGCCCTGATTGTAACTCATTACGTCAAAACTTCCCACCACAATTCCTTATATTTTGGATAACTGATAACTATCTGGCCATAAGCTGTACTTCATACACCCCCTTTGCCTTTGAGCATTTATTAATATAACACAATCTAGAACAAATTCGGAATCTATCTCAAGTATTATTAATTAGCATTAGATATAGGGAGTACCCTGAGAGTTTAAATTTATTATATCAAGATTATGTAACAAGCTAGACTAATCTCTTTACATAGTGCCAAAACGAAATTATAAGTTCTATGGAAGGAACAAACGAAGAAAGTAATAATCCAAGTAGTAATTTGGAAATAAGTAAAAACTCAAATAGTGATTCAGACAAAGATTCTACAAATGCACATCAACAAATGGTAAATGTTATAGTACCACAGCCAGCAACTGCACCAGAAATTAACATCCAGATTATACCAAGATCCAATTACCTGGATAGAGGAAATGGAACAAGCCTTTGTTGAAAATAGAGTAGCAAATGATCGGAAAGTAGCAGTGGAAGTACCAAGATTAAAAGCAGGAGTAGCCACTTGGTGGAATCAAGTTCAAGGTAATATCTAACACTGGAATGATCAAACTAACAATGGTACAATAACTGTAAGTTTTGTTCAGAATTTCCAAACCAGATATGGGACTAGAGCTATGGAAGAAGGATGGGCAGCTGAATTAGAAAAATGAAGACAATTACCTGGGGAAACTTGTAGCATTTATGCCAAACATTCCTGGGATCAAAGTGCAGATCAACAATTACAAGGATTAATTAATCAACTAACTAACATGATGGTGTAGATCCCTATAAAATTTTGACATGGAAAGGTACAGGAATACATAATTATAATGCATGCTTATAATATATGCTAATACTAATACAGAAGAATATGCACAGAAATCATACACATTTTAAAAGTCATGCAATATGGATATGTGAGATTTAAAAAGCGCATATTTTGTGAATAGTTTCTAAATTTGTACTAGTTATATGTAGGGATGGGCAAAATTGCATAATGCATAATGCGTGCATAATGCATTATGCGCATTATGCGCACTGAATTTTTTAAAATGCGCATAATGTCCCAACGAATAATGAACATATGTAATGTTACACGAATTATTTTTTTTTAAAAAAAATTTATTTTATGCCTCCGCTTAGTAAAATTTGGTCTCATTTTATGAAGCTTGGCCATGAGGCCACTTATAAACAAGAAAGAGCTCAATGTAATTATTGTTCACATAAATTGCTTGCTGCTGCAAATCGTTGTGAACAACACCTTAAGAAATGTACCAAAGTTTCACATCATGTACTTAATGAATATTTTCAACAAAATCAAAATATAATTACGCAATCATCACAATCTGAGAATTCTACTTCCTCTACTTCCTCTACTTCCTCCTCCTCCTCTTCTTCTTCTTTATCTCAAGCAACTCCTTTAGTTAACACTTCAATTATTAATTTTATTGATAGAATTTCTTCTGCAGAGCAACAAGAATTTGAAATTTTATTTGCAACTGCTATTTTTTCTTGTGGACTTCATTTTTCATTTTCTGAATTAAAGCCAATTCGTGATATTTTTTATTCAATTAGACCAGCTTTAAAATTACCTTCACGAAAAAAATTATCAACTGATTTATTAGAACATGTTTTTGAGACAACAAAAAACCAAGTGACTGAATTAATTAATTCTGCAGAAAGTTTATGCTTAATCTGTGATGGATGGTATATATTTTATCTTTTTTTTTATATTTTTAATTTAAAACTAAAATTTTCCTGAAATATTTTTTTAGGACAAATTTAATTCAAGAACATTGGTTAAATTTTATTTTAACAACTCCAAAACCAGTATTTGTAAAAGCTAAACCCACTGGTGAAATACGACAAACAGCTGAAAATACTGCAAAAGAAATTAGAGAAATTATTGAAGATACTGGTGCAATGAAAATATCTGCTGTAATCACTGATAATGCAAGTACAATGACAGCTGCATGGAGAATTTTAAAACAAGAGTATAAACATATTATTTTTATGGGATGTACTGCACATGGGCTTAATTTATTAGTGGGTGACATAATGCAACTTGATTGGGCCATGAAAATATTTAGTAATGCAAAAAAAATTGTTAAATTTTTTAAAAAACATACTATCCCAGGTGCTATTCTTAAACGTCATCAAGCTACTATATATAATAAAAAAATTGGTCTTAAATTACCAGTAAAAACTCGTTGGGGTTCAGCAGCAATTTGCATGGAATCTCTTCTTGAGTCTAAACTTGCTTTAAATCTTGCTACAATGGAAATTATTCATCAACCAAATATTAGAATGAATGTAGAAATTCAAAATGTCATTTTGGATCAAATTTTTTGGGAAAATTTAGAAGTTCTTTTTCAAATTTTAAATGAATTTGTAATTGGAATTCGATATTTTGAAAGTGATATTCCACGATTGTCTGAATTTTATTCTTGGTATAAAAAATCTATTGAAAAAATTAGTATGTTTATTTTAAAAAAAAACTTTTTGATTTTTTTCTAAATGAAAATTAGTTTTTTTATTAATTTATGATAAATAAATAAATAGGTGCTATTATATCACCGATTACAGATAATGTTATTATTATATGTGAAAATCATTGGAAAAAAATCTATCATCCAGCAATGGAAATTGCTAATCTTTTAGATCCAAAACAATATGGCAAAGACTTACCATCAAATTCGATGGATACAATTGCTAATTTTATCCAAGAATACTATCCTAAAGAATCAACTACAATTTGGATTCAAATTCTTCAATATAAAAATCAAAGTGATGTATTTGCTAATAATCTTAGTTGGGCATCAATTGATGCTGTAGATTCTATAACTTGGTGGAAAAGCCAATTCCAATACTCAGCTCCTGAACTAACAAAGATTGCTTTATGTATTTTAAGAATTCCTACATCTTCTGCTGCTTCTGAGCGCAATTGGTCAGCCTTTTCATATATTCATGACAAAAAACGCAACCGTTTAACCTCAGAGCGAGTGTTTAAGTTAGTTTATATTTATAGTAATTATAAATTACAGCAGCCACAAAAACATTGTAGTATTGATATAGAT